TTTTTATATATATATATATATATATATATATATATATATATTTTGAAGAGATTTTGAGAGAAGATGATTGTAACAATTTTTTTTTTAAATTTTAAAATAAGTAATCATATAATATAACTTTTTATATTATTGTGGAGAGTGATTAATTTTAATAATTTTAAAATATGTAATATAAATTAGGGATAAAAGTTTTTGATAAAAAGTGAAAATAAAAAAATTACTAAATTATAAAATATGTATTATAAATTTTGGAGTAATTATTATATGTATAGATATAGATATGTATAGTTATATAGATATAAATGTATAGATTATTATTTAAAGAATTTAGAGAAAAGACATAATGTGTGTGTGTGTGTGTGTTTTTTTTTTACATAAAATATAAATAAATAAAGATGTCAGAGGAATGCAAAAACTGATCGTCACACTATATATGTTTCGTTAATACGATTTGGGCATTTTTTCTTTTCGCTTTTCGCAAATTTTCGGATCTCTTCTGTTTCTTCGAATCAAAACCCTAATTCCCCCAATTTCAGTTTTCAGCCTCGAAAAACCTATCTCCCTCTCTAACTTCTCAACGGTTTTCCCATTCAAGAGCTCGATCCACAGGTTCTTCCTTCTCCTCCTCCTCGTCCTCCTCCTTCTTCTTCTTCTTCCTCTGTTTCTCAATTCTCTTTAAGTATTTTTAGCTTTTGACCTGTACCATAGCTATGATGTTGTGCGAATTTGACACTATTATCTGGTTTCAGCTTTTTAGATTTTAGGTTTTGTTTATAATTTTGTTTGCGCAATTGTGGAATTTCGCGATTTGCATTCCGCATTCGGTGGTTATCGACTTTATGGAATCGGAATTTCGGGACATGTTTGGATGTGGATTGGGTTTGTCTGTTGATGGATCCTTCGAGGGGATTTGCGGTGGCTTTTTGGTTGTTGTGGAATTTGTTGATTGGTTTGTATTGAGCGCACGTTGGCAATCTGTTTCGAAGACTGAGGAACAATTAATGACACTGATTAGTAGCACTGGATATGCTGTAGTTGTTAATCTGAAAATATTTTTTGCTAATAGTTTTCATGACTATTTGGTTGTGCTTGTTCTATGCGAATATGGTGATGATTGAGTTTATAGGCAGCTGATTGTATGTGTTGCTTTGTCAGAGAATGTGATCTTTGTCTTGAGGCGTGTTGCTTTTCTAGGTGGTTATCCTTTCATTAGTATAATAGTGTCACTACCGTACTAATTAATTGCATGCTGTTCAAAGGTAGTTGAATGGATGCACATGACTGTTATGATCTTTGCTTAAGTTAGGATTTGGTTTTCTTTGTTTTGTTTACTTCTGGATGTACTTTTGGAACTTAATGTCATGTTTTATCCTCTTAGTAAAAAGGATTGGAAGGTAGATAATAATAATTAGTAAGACTTGCATGTGACTGACTGTGCATATGATTATTAACTTTAGTCTATCCACATTCATGTGGGGGGCATGCTAGAAAAGAATATTAATCAAATAATGACAATTCTGATTTTTGTTTCTGTTTTAGTTAGTGTTCCTTCAACTGATCAATATGCTGTGGGGAAGTCCACTAAAGACATACTACTATTGTTAGTTTTTTTCTTTCTATCATAAGATTCTGTACAGAAGAATGGGAATATTAGGTAATAAATTAATAATATTGAGTGATGGTATGACTGGAATGGAGACGTGTTTTCCTGGATGTAGGGCATAAACCATTTTCTTTTGTTGTTGTTTGGGGGGGGGCTTTAAGGTCTTCTCCAACATACACCCTTAGCACCGAAGAC